AGTGTGTTTTTAATACGCAGAAGTGAAATTAATGCATTCAATTACCTAGTTGGAAATGATTTTTGTTGAAGTTATGTGATAAATAAGTAAAATCATTGCAATATCTAAACCTCTGTAATTCGTTTTTCTTTAATTTTTTTTTAAATAAACTTATTATATCTCTAAAGATTGAAGTTATTTTCTCAAGGCAAAAAAAGAAACTGTGTGGCAAACATATATGGCTTATATGTTTGCCTTGTGGTATTTTCAGAGAAGTCGTGTTTTAATAAACCACACTACACTTGCTCAGAACAATAAGACACATTTCTATGAAAGGGAAATATAAACCAACCGCAAAACTCCAAGATTGCTCTAAAGTGGGCATCTCTTTTCGTTTTGACGGGCAGGAACTAACACGCCTAAGCATGTGAGTGGACCGACTGGTTGCACCATGTGGGGTTTTCCCTAGAAGGCTGTAAGAAGTTCGCACCTCCTTCGTCTTGACCTAAAACACTCACACTCCCACTGATCGTCGCACACCACGTCGAACAGATAAACAGCACTTTGTATGTAATTCTGAGCTACGGAGGCATTCATAGTGTTAACACCCTGAGCGATATTAGAGCAGAAGAAACAGTCTGGTAAGTCGACATCCTGTAATTTGCTCTTTTATTATTTTTCTTTCAAAAAAAAAAAAAAGTGCGGTAAATGCTGATCAAATGAAGCCTGTTTAAAAACTGCGAAGCTGGTGTAGACTAGTTAAAAATGAAGCAGGTTGGAGTTTCTTGAAACTCATAAATGAGCTGCGACCTAATCATTAGCAATTAAGTCATCAATTAAAAGATACAGCACTGAAAAAGGCTATTGCTGAGAGAAAAGCATTACATTTAATACATACCATGTAATAATACTTAATATTTAGTGATTCTGGTTTTGAAATATAAACATTTCTTGTGATTGCTTTTGGAATTGTATTGTGGTTAAATGATTAGTCGGTGTGGTTTAATGACATGTAATGTAAAAATGTCATATGATAATGATGATATGATTTGTCATATCGTTGCAGTTTTGCTTGTATCTCCCGTTGAGGTTCAATTCCTTTCGCAGAAAGGGAGGCTCAAGATAAGGTCCCTGCTTCCGTTTTTGATGTTGCTTCACTTCTTCCATTTCTTCATAACATACCAGGGGCATCTGCTAATGTTGCGTTTATCTAGACAACACAGACTACTAACATAATCACAGAGAAAATACATTTTCATCTTAAAAACGTTAACAAACATTCACAATATTGAAATAGATCATTTTTAAGACAATACAACTGTGTATAAGTGACTCATCAAGCATGTTCAGTTGAATAAACTGGATAGATTTCTGCAAAAGTCTCTGCCTTATTTGATGATTTTCCTTCGGGGGTGTGTGAGAAAAGAGCAGGCGGGTTTTTACTGTAAATGGACATCCAGCATAGATAACACCCGCCTTCTAACATTGTTTTGTGTGAGCTGCAGAGACACAGATTTATCATAAGTGTCTTCCTCTCTAAAGCCTTGAGAAGTTTTGCACCTGCAGTTCAAAAGGCAGTTCATTTATAACATGGTGTAGTCCAAGGATCAAGTGGCATCATCAACTTTTGCTCAGGTCTGTGCCTTTCTGTTTTGATTCTGAGACATTACTCACTTTGATTTCAGATTTTTATTGATATATTGATACAATAGAAATAGTTCAGTCATAGTGACTTATTCACATAATTTACATGAAAGAGGTGATAACAGCACCTCTTTCAGTATCAGTGTTGTGATTCTGATAGGATCTCAGCTCTAAATCTTTATGATCTTACTGGCAAACTTTAATGGTCACAGATTCCACCTTAACATTGGTCTGTGATTGATTTCTCAAATGTGATGCATTGTCTTCCTGGAAGAAATATCTCATTTAGAAAATATGTGTCAGTGAATAAAAGCAGTTTTTGAGCATTGTTCCAGTCATTTTGATGTGTTTTTCTCAGTTTTGACACATTTGTCGAATGATGATTGTCAAACACTGTGTGCAAATCTCTAATCCATAGTTATCACAGCAATATATCCATTTCTTGTTGCTTCAAGTCAAATGTAGTACAAATATCTTAAAATGAACCGATGATGCATTGAGTTAGTCTTGGTTACCAAAATGGATACACAGGGGAGGGGGTGAAAATAATGTGAAATAATGTGTGAAAATACACAGGAAGAGTCAGCGTGCGCGTGCGCGTGCGCGTGTGTGTGTGTGTGTGTGTGTGTGTGTGTGTGTGTGTGTGTGTGTGTATGATGTGAGATGCTGTGATCAGGAGAGTTTGTGTGCCCAGTAAGAGATGATTTACAGTACATACTATGTTTTTTCTTTTCTAAATAGTTCCTAAATTACATGAGTATGTTTTGACCTTTGTATTTTCAGTTTTTCATTGTTATTTCATATGATGTGTCTGTTGTGATTAGGGGACATAAATAAGAGAAAGGTGACTGTTGCCAGTGAGAAACCTGTTTGGTTGTAAGCCATGAATTTATTTAGTTGGCTGTAGAGGATATTTGACTTTCTTATTAGGTTGATATATGTTATTCTGACACTACAGAAAGACAATGTTAACATCTTGTGCTACGCTGTCACAGTTCCTTTGACTGTGCCTTGACAATCATGTGGGGGTAATGTGCGGGAAGTTAATAGTTAAAAGTTTTGAGTGCGTGACAAATGAGGTGTATGAAAAGGCATGGTGATTGCTCTTAATGTTTGAGAACTGCACAAGTGTTTCAGACAATGTAATTGCAATAAGCAATAAGAAATTTAAAGAGCAACTCCACAAACAATTCCCCCTCAATGACCCCCTTCCTAACATTAAGACTTTCAGACCGAACTTACAACTGACACACACATATTTATTTCTAACCCCAATCAACTCTTTTAGACTACAGCTTTGATTCAGTCGACTGCACAGATTTAGACTAAAAGCACCACCATGCTGTATGTTATGTTACACTGATGCTTATATGATTTGTCTCCCACAGGCGGAAATGTTGGCATCAACCACAGAACAAGCGGGCATGACAGGAACCCCTGGTTTGGGCTCAACAGCCAGTAATGTCTCAACCTTCTTGGACTCTGAATTTCGTTACATCCTCTTCCCAGTTGCCTATGGCATCATCTTCATCCTGGGCCTCTTTGCGAACCTCTACGTGCTGTTTGTCCTGCACTGCCTCCGCGAGGCCAGGGCCATGGGTGAAATCCGCATCTACATGACCAACTTGACCATTGCTGATCTCCTTTTCGTGTGCGCCCTTCCCTTCTGGATTGGTTATTACAGTCGTCATGGTAACTGGGTCTACACGGACTTCATGTGCCGGCTGACGGGGTCGCTGTTCTTCATCAACACCTACTGCTCCATCCTCTTCCTCGGAGCCATCAGTGTCAACCGTTACTGGGCAGTCACCCGCCCGCTAGATGCGGCCTCTTCGGACCACAGGCGCCGTGGGATCATTGTGTGCACTGTCATCTGGATGTTCACTGTAGTGATGGCTATTCCATCTCTGGCATCTCCAGGGACCAACACTGATGTGAACAATGTCACTCACTGTTTCGAGGGGTACCAGAATGAAACCGATATGCAGAAGAAAACAGTGGCCGCCACTCATTTTGCAATAATTGGAATGTTTTTTGTTGTCTTTTTTCTTGTCGTTGTATGCAATTGCCTTATTGCTCGAGCGTTACTTTCTCAAAAAACTCCTCAGTCGGAATTCAGGTCTTCAACAATTAAACCCCAAAAGTCCAAAAGGACCCTATCTTTTGCAAGGATAAGACCCAGAGGGGTGAAACGGAGGGCTCTCCAGATGTTGCTGGCAGTGGTGGGAGTGTTTGCTCTGTGTTTCCTGCCCCACCATCTAATCCAAGGCTTCTGGACACTAGCGGTGTTGCAGATCAAACAGGGCTGGGGCTATGTGGACTGGGACCAGAGGACTCTTCAGGTGTTCAACGATGCACACCAGATCACCTTGCTTCTCATGGGCCTCAACTGCATTTTGGATCCTGTAGTTTACTTTTTTGCCACGAGGAAATTTAGAAGGTTCATCATGGAGCACATTAAAAAGTTAGGAAAGGGAGAAGGGTGCGCGCACACGGTCACCTCTCAGATCTCTATGGACAGCAGGAATCAGAGCCAGAAACTTCAGAGCGAACTCGAACAACCTGAAAAGGATTTGTAATATTTGTAATAGAAATAAAAATATAGATATCGGTTACTTGTGTGTGAACGACCTCACCTCCCTTGTTGCTGCTGATTGAAGATACAGTATTTTGTTTCACTTCTGGAACTGTGAGCAGTTTAAGGTTTTATGCAGTGCAATGTGTTGGTGGCTCCTCACCCTCAGGGTCTCTGTTACGAAACTTTAATGTGGTCTCAGACAGATATCTGTCTAGGAGCTGTCTGAGTTGCAGCAGGCCTTATGCACTTCCTGTGGGAAGTTCAAACTGAAAAGCAGAAGTTTTGCAAGCACTTATCACTATGTGAAATTAAGTGAGGAGACACCAGGCACATTATTTAAATCCTCACACAGGTGTTGTTCTGCATAAAGTAGGGCGCCAAAAACAGGAGGGAAGTCAACAGCAACAAACATATATTCTGAGGCTAATGACCTCTCCTGGGGTGTTAAGGAAGTAGCTTCTCACACTTAAGCTCAGTAGGCGCTGTGCCTGACAATATGTCAGTAAAATACAGTGATAATGAGATTGTAGTTTTGCATCAGAGAAGTTCCTTTTTATTTATTCATTTTCTTTTAGCTTTTCTCAGACAGGTTTATCTGGTATTGTGAAAACAGGGAACAGAGGTAATACTGCTTGAGTATTGTTTTGCCTCTGGCATCCAGGTGTGTAAGTTTGCATCTATGTTTCATGGTAAAAAAAAAAAAGATGCCCTGATTGACTGTAATAAGAAAGTTGTTTAAATCTGCTGTATATGTACTTGCACTGTGATTTTAAAAATACTATGATCTTACCTGCTGTTGCAAAACAGAGATATGTTTTTTTTTTTTAATTCTGTGGAACAGCTTTGGTTATCTTGTTGTCTGCAGTGTTACTTTGATCTTTCAAAAGGAAAATATGCTGGGATCATATCACATAATCTTGTAATTAAACTTTTACTTGTGGATTTAATTTGCTGTATTGTGATAATTAAAGTAAATCAAAGTCAGTTCCTGACTTATCAACAAACAGGGAGGCATGTATTCATCTTTGTAGACATTACAGGTTTTATTAGTCAGTATAAAGAGAAAGGGGAGGGTTACTGTTTGGTGGGAACATTTCCACATACCTAGAACTACAGATGTGTGTGTCTTTTTTTTTTTTTACCACATTCAGATGGTGAATGTTGATTGTGAGGTTAGATTAAAATCAAACAAAGCATACACTTCGAGGTAATGCGCACACTGAAAAACTTCACAGCATATGGTAAACCGTGTCTGTCAGGTTAAACATGACGCTGAGCTGTACATGCAAGATATTAACGAACTGTAATCTGCTGCTGAACAAAATGTTCTGTCATTCTTCCTCTTTTTATTGCACGTCTCCACCTTCCCTTGGCTGTTCATGACAGACTTGAGTAGACATTATCCCCAGTCATATTGGTTGGGTCCAGATTAGTGTAGGCTTGGTTGGTGCTTGTGTAATTCATGTACACATCTCCATCGCTTTCTGTCTGTGGGAAATCTCCCCTGGTGAAAAATGCAATCAGTTAATACGTACATCCTTCTGACACAGCTGTCTTACAGCATGTGAACAAAGTACAGACAATAATGTAACTGTTAGTGTATAATTCTCCTGGCAGGACTTACTTTGGTGCCTTTTCAGGTCCTGGAAAACCTTTAAGAAAACCAAGAAATTAAAATGATTCTGAGAACATTCGCTTTAAAACCGATCCAACAGTAAAATGCTCTATGGTGTTCTTTACCTTTAGCTGCAGTGTTAGAGATGGTCATTGTGCCACCAACTCTTTGCAAGCCCAACCAAATCAGAATAGTGAGGGTGATGATCAAGGCCAGGAAAGAAAGGACGATGGCAGCTATTCCTAAATTCTCACCCACTATTTTCAGTAGGGGAAACAGCACAGAATTGGAGGTGAAAGGTTTTCGTTGTGTGTCAGAGTAAATGGATAAACATTTGGAAAAAAGACAAACAAAAACTTTTTTAGTTAGCTGTTTGATATACAGTATATTGGATGACATTAGCCCAGTGCAGATATCTGTGTCTTAGCTGGAAAAAAAAAAGAAAGAAACTTCCGTATATATAAATAAAGTGTTTCAGGAAATACAGAGGCAGTGTCATAGAGGGCACTGTAAAAAATTTCCACTGAATAAATGTCTTAGTAACAACTCTTTACCAACCAAACTTTAACCCACAATTGAGTCACTTAGAAACATGCTGTAAACAAAACACTAACATATCATCACCATTGAAGTTTACATGAGGAACTTTTTCACAATTTTCCATTTACACGCCCTGCAGTTACGGAACAACATCAGCATTCACTTGGAGTGGTATTTCAAGCCCAATGTGTACTCTTCTTTTAGCTTCTTCTTTTGGCTCTTTATCTAGTAAATGTTCCACCAGCTGGTCTCTAACTGTCTCCTGTTTGTTTTCTACTGGGCAGGTAGTGTACGGTGAGTTTTCAGAACCATAGCCTGCTGTGGCCGAAATCAACTCAGGGAGAGCTGTGTGAGTCAATCAAAACAGTAAAGTCGTAGCCCATGAAATCAAAACTATGAGCTGAGAGCCTGGGGAACGTGCAGAGTTCAGTGATGATACAAGCTAAGCCTTTCACATGCGAATAGTCATGCAATACACTCTTTGTCATTAATGTCCTGACTAATGAGGAGTCAAATGGAAACCATTGGCACTAAAAACAAATGTTTTGCAGAAGCAGCTGTGCAGACCAATAATGATTTTACACTGTTTTCATTCAAATATGCAGCAAATCAAACAGACCACCAACCTGTTGGCTGCATGGCGACGATATAGACTGAGAGGTTATGGCTCACACCCTGATTTAACAAGGTCTTAGCACAGCAGCGGTACAGCCCACTTTGCTTTGGCTCTGTGAGGGTGAGGTCCATCTCGCTGCCCACCTGTCGCCAGGCCATATTTTCTAGGTGTTGCCAGGACCAATTGACAAGTGGCGGCATGGAGAAAGCACTGCAGTGCAGGTTGACTGTTTGACCTGCTGCAACAGGGTAGTCTGGTGTGGCCACCGCCAGCAGCGGAGATAGCATTTCTGGGAATGGGGGGTGGGGGGTGAGCCGTTATGTGACGGATACAGAATGGAGGATGATGGATGGATGGAGGAAGAAACAAGTAGAGATATAACAGTTACGGACAGAAGATTTTGGTATTGCACAGATTTTCAGCTACACTAGCAGTGTGGTTCTAGATATGGTAATGTTTATTTGTTGGTCTGCCTACCCACCGCTTTGGTCCAGACTAAAATATCTCAGCAACTTTGGGGGAAGAAAGAATCCTAATTACTTTTGTGATCCTCTGACTTTTCTTTTAGTACCACAACAGGTCAAAGGTTTCACTTAACTAGTGAAATATTTTAACATCTTCTTAATGGGTTTGCATGAAATGTTGTACAGACACACACGTTCCCCAGAGAATGAAGACCTTTAGTCATCCCCTCATCTTTCCTTAAGGGCACCATGAGGTTAACAATGTCTTGAAAACTATTGGATGGATTACCATTAAATTTGGTTCTAATATTCATGTCCCCCACTGAATGATTTGTTATACCTTTGATGATTCCCTAAATTTTTTATGCAGCACCATCATCAAATCAAAATTTCAGTTTGTTTTATGACTACATACCTGCAAAACTAATGACACTCCTATCAGCCTCATTTGTATTTCATGTTTAGTGCTTATTAGCAAATGTCAAATTGCTATCATGCTAAACTCTGCCAGCATATCAACATTAGCATTTAGCTCAGAACACTGCTGTGCAGTATATAGCAGTGTTTAAGCTCCCAGAGGTGCCAGCATCATTGTGGACTGTTAGTCTTGTGTTTAATAATTTAATTTGATTGGACAGCTAAAGAATCACATTCTCTATTACCTGTCATTGTAGTTCTAGGTGTGTTCAGGGAAGTAACGTAAATAGGCCATTTTGTAGTCAGGAATGTGACTGCAAAGACAACAAGAAGCACAAATAAATTTGAAACCTATATTCTGGATTCTTTTATAGCATTCAGGAATTGAAATGTCCTTACCTGTGCTCTCACAGAAGAAGAACAGCAGAAAAAATCCAAGCAGCATGTTGTTTTGAGATGACAAAAAAGAATATGCTACAGTCCCTTCAGGCCAACAGGAACAAGAATAAATCAAGAGTAATAATCAAAGCACAGGTGAGAATGACGGAAGTGTGCCCCCGGGAAATTAATAGAAAGGGAAGTTTCAAGTTCCTTTTTCCAAGTATTCAACAAAACAGCTGCACAGAAATACAATGCATTCAGAAAGTATTCAGACCCTTTAACTTTTTTCACAGTCATTTCATATTCAGCCATTTTCAGGTCACTCCAGAGTTTGATTGGGTTCAAGTCGGGGCTCCGGCTGGGTCATTCAAGGACATTGAAAGTTATCTCTAAGCCACTCCTGCGCTGTCTTGACTGTGTGGTTAGGATCATTGTCCTGTTGTAAGGTGAACCTTCAGCCCAGTTTGAGTTCCATGGTGCTCTGGACCAGGTTTCATTATACAAATGATTCTAGCTTAAGGCAGCAATATCACAAAATGCGAAAAAAGGGGTCTGAATACATTCTGAATGCACTGTAATAAATAACATTCCCCAATTTTTTATATTGGGCAAGCAGCAGTATGCAATGGGTCCACCTCTTGTTATTGGAAATCTTGGTATGGCATTAAAACAGCAGGAAAATGGTAAACTATCAATATAGAAAACATTAGACCCCCATCTAACAAATGCACAAATTTGCATAAAGATAGTCACAATTAAACTTATATCTCACCCATGACAGCCCTCAATTTGTAAAATTTTAACTCTGTCAATCAATTTATGACCTGCAGGAAAAACAGTTAACCAGACTCCACAGAACTTTTAATGGTTTTTTAAATGTCAGAATGTCAGAGCTGGCGGGCAAGTCTATCAGACACTCAACACACTTGGTTTCAAACATTTCATATCTCCAACGGTGGTCACCTTCAGGCTCAGGCTGTGATGACAGCCAAGATTGTTGGTTTTGGACAGTTTGACACCAGACCTCTCACCTGAGGCAAACGCTCACTGGCTGCCAGAGTGGGTCAGGAGGAGGAGGTGGTTCTGCTAAAGGCATGGAATTGAAAGACCAATATATTAAGCTTCATGTGCAAATGAAACCAACACACAGGATGGAAAAAATGACAAAAAGGTGTATAATCTCATAACAAGGGCTGTATAAAAATATGACTGTTGGAAAGCTTATAATATGTTTTTGTTGTGTCAGAGAAGAGTTGATTCAACTCTGTGGTCAGCAAGGGTCACAAAACCTCATATAAAAAAGCTTGAAATAAATTTTTTTACGTTATTTAGCACTATAAGTGAACTACTATTGTTGGCTGAACAAATAGTTTGACATAAATACATTATGTGCCTAAAATGATATTAGAGCTTATCATGTTATTGAGGATGTCGAAAACAAACTGAGATAGCTTGCAACACTAGCATTAAGCTTTGTTTACATACAAGTATTATACAATAGCCTTTTATACTAATTAAAGATGCTTGTTTTATCCAATATTTTTTTCAGCTTTTTCACTTTTACTATTGTGTTTACAAACATAACTTATGCAAGTAAAACTTCAGCAGCATCATAAAAGTTTAACTCTGAGTGACTCTTATATTAAGACCAGTCAGTCAGTTTGAGAGTGACCTCAAGAGTTGAGTTTTCATTTGTAAAACTGGGGCTTGCTTTATTGTACATTGGTTTAAGCCCTTAAGCTTCTAATGTTTTATTATGCTATGTTGTCACAGACAATAATACAGTAATTCTTTCTCAATGAAGGGGCCAAAAGTAATATGGATTTCCACCTTAGTCTTTTGCCAAAAAAAAACTTTGATAAAAATGTATGTTGCATATGTACAAGGCTCAGATTTTTGTGCTGCCACTGCTTATATTTACACGTGGCTACTTATTTTAATCACTTGTGCATCCATTTTATGTTTTTCACTCAATCATAAACCATAAGTATTACATGATGAAGCCCAACCATAACATTACCATAACTTGTGTGTAATCTCTAACCAGAACCACAAACCAAGTTCTGAGCAAGTGGAAACCTCTGGGGCTAAAAAAATATTTTAGTGCCAAAAACTGCAGCTCCTCGAACGGCCACTTGAGGCTGGCTCCAATCCCCATAGACTCTTCATGTTTAAATGCCTCTCAACTTTTCAGCAGAAGTAATAATGTTTACAGGCTGGTACAAAAGCAGTTTTGGTCTCGACAGTCGATTTCCCCCTTCATGACAGCTGTACGGAGGTGGGTTTTATTTTAATTCACTTTAAATTTAATTAGGCCTCAAAGTTATGCGCGAAGGCGTGGCCAGTTTGACAGGTGGGTGCCGTCACAGTTGACGAGCTGCCCGGTGTTTGCTAGGTGTCACATCAGCTGATGCCAGTAACTGAACGTGACCTCTCGGCCTTGTTTGTCGTGTTGGTGCAACTGGGAGATTTTTCATGCAAATATCGGATTAATAGTATAGCTTGCTCTGCGGTTAATTGAGGAGGACGCGAGCGAGGACGCCCGTGCTCTTGCTTTCTGAGGTGAGTGAAATTCTAGTGTCGTTCAATTAATGTTAGCACTAATTAGCAGGTATCAGTGTCTGCCCTCACCATACTTGGCTTGTTAGCTTAGCTTGTTAACTAGCTAATTAGCCAGCAAGTGAATTACGTAGCGTTGGGTTTGCCTTCCAGCAAAACGGTCAGATGCTCAGCAGTGCTAACAATGCTAACGGGAGCTATGCTTGCCATAGTTATTAAGGTCTTGGATCCACACATGCCCCACCTCTTTGCCTATTTTTCATTAGCCGGGAGTTTGGCAGAATCAGGCAAGATGGCGACCGCGGGGCAGTCCACTCTTAGCTTCAAAACCACTCTTCAGAAACCTATAGGCGATGTCTTCTAGGCTTCGTCCATCTATATATGAAGAAGTCCTAGACCTCTGCCACACTAATCCATGTAATTAAAGCTGAGGTATTGTTTTGCTCATCGTTTTCGCACATTGCATGAACAAAATTAGACCTTACATTCATGTCCCTAAAATCCAGGATGTGGTTTTTCTTGTATCACGAAACTGATGCTAAAACAAAAAAACATCTGCTTTATCATACTGCAATGTTTGTAATGGGGCGGGGGGCGGCGGGGGCGGCGGCGCCATTGCTAAATGAATGTAGTGGAAACACTGACATCAGTTCCCTCTATGGAGAAGAAGTAAAAAGTAGCACAATAACAAAAACTTCCTCTAAAAGTTACTTGAATACAGTAGCTTAAGCAGATGTTCTTATTTTTTTCTGCTGACATGACTTCTTTTATTAGAGCTCGTCATAGCCCATAAATAGTTAATTTGTAACACTTTATGATAGATCCTTTCAGCGCATTAATTCATCATGAGCCATGAATGAAGTATGCATGTGATTTGTGCCCTTTTTATAAATGTTACTTTCAGCAGGACTCCAACTATAGCAGCAATTATCTGTATTTTTTCTGTGAGCTGAAGCCCACTTTACAATCATATCTAGTCAGCTTTACTTAGTATGTATAGTAGCCAAGAGTTACAGTTTTTGTTGTGCCACTATATAAAGATAAATAGTAACATAAGTCATATTGCTATGCAGCATTAAAACCTTGCTGTTTTTAACCTTGTTATTGTTTTCAGAGCAGCATCAAACATGGATTTTTGCTGATGTCATTTACACCTCTATTTCCTGAATTGTTTTTATTTCTATTCTTCAGCTGTAGATGAGAAAGATAGTATGCAACAGTGTTTCTCCACATGCCCTGCAGGCATTTGTGACTTCCTCTTAATGAAGTTGCGTACACCAGAGGGGACAGAGGAACCACTCTCTTTCTCTCTGAGAAGAAGATAAATAGTGATACTGTATAATCATCCATGGCTGTTCTTGTGTGTGCATAGTGTGTGCATACGAGTGTGTGTGTGCATGTCTGTGTCTTTTTCCCCCAAGTCATTACTCTTCATTATTCTTCTATTATTCATAACTCATTCATTATTCTGCCTGTACCGCTGGCTAAAGTCATGCGTGTTGGTTCTCACCACAAACACTACTGTGGTGCTCCTGCCAGTAGATGACAGTGAAATAACGGGATGAAATGTGCGATATGTGTGTAATATTATCCCAGAAGTCAATATTTTCCTTCATGTACATGGACAACTGCAAATAACATATTTCATGTTATACTTAAATGACCCCCTCTATGAATATTGACTTTATTGATCTCTAGGTGGCAGCATCTACCCAACAGTTGAAGAAGCTGGTTTGTGAAGATGAATAGTGAACAGGACAGGCTACAGACGTGTGGAGAGGGAAAAAGAGGGGAAAGGGACTCTGAACTAATTAGCTCATTATTTTACAGTTATCCTTTGATAAATAATTTCAAACAAAAACATAAATCTGTACTTCCTCATGCATTTGTTAGAGCATGATCTAAAATATCATCATGCTGTTGTGCAAAGATAAAATAAAAATTAACTGGGAGAGTCTTGCTATTTACTGGGGAGGGTTCAGTTCAGCAATTCAGCAGCACAGAAAAGCCATCCCATGTACATTTTCATCATAATATTACACAACATAAGGAAATAAATAACAACAAATAATAAGCTGTGGTTGGATTAATGATCACTTCATCTCTATGATGGAGTATATAATCACTCTTTTTAGCTGTTTTTTGTTCTCTTTCAAGTCCTGAATGACATATCTGGCTATGTTCACGTGTTGTGCCATGTGGTGCTGAACAGGTAGTGTACAGTTGGTTTTTAGTGTTTTTACACTGAAAATAATGCTATGAGAGTGATAAAAGTAAATCCGATTTGTACAGTTGTGGGCTGGACAGCTAAACAGTGAGGGGAAACTTGCTATGAAGCTCCATAAAGTTGTGTGGAGCTGCAGATTTGGGTGATAATTCTCTGTAGGTACATCACTGTGAGCACACATTTCACATTTTCACAATGTTTTTGCATTGTCATTTTATACATTGTTATCATAGAATAATGGTGAAACTGTGAAAAGTATTTCATGTGTTTGAGGGTGGATTTTCCATTTTCGTGAGCCCAAAATCTGTTCTTTTCAG